TGGAGGGTTTAATTGATGTCTATTTGCATATGGAGGGTTTAATTGGATTTGGGAGGGTTTAATTGATGTCTATTTGCATAGGGTTTAATATGTCTATTTGCATATGGAGGGTTTAATTATTTGCATCTATTTGCATATGGAGGGTTTAATTGATGTCTATTTGCATATGGGGGTTTAATTGATGTCATTTGCATATTAATTGATGTCTATTTGCATAGGGTCTATTTGCATATGGAGGGTTTAATTGATGTCTATTTGCATATGGAGGGTTCCATTTTAATACCAGTTCAGTTGTGGTGCACACGGGGTCCGGTGTCTGGTGAAGAGAATTACCACCTTTCTTTTGTTTCAGTGCATTTGTTTATTTATTAAGTCCATCTGTATATACTTGAGGGTTTGGTGCCAGTTCAGCTGCGGCGCGCGTGGGGGTCCAGCACCTGGTGAAGATAATTGATGCCTTTTAGTTTAAATGCGCTTACCTATTTATTATCAAGCCCATTTACCTATATTTATGGGTTTGGTGCCAGTTCAGCTGCGGCGCGCGTGGGGGTCCGGCGCCAGGTGTAGAGAATTGCTCCCATTATTTTGTCGAAATGCCTTTATTTATTCATTAAGTCCATCTGTATATACGGGGGGTCCAGCACCTTGTGAAGATAATTGATACCTTTTAGTTTAAATGCACTTATATATTTATTATTAAATAAATACCTATACTTATGGGTTTGATGCCAGTTCAGCTGCGGTGCGCGTGGGGGTCCGGCGCCAGGTGTAAAGAATTGCTCCCCTTATTTTTTTCGAAATTCTTTTATTTATTCATTAAGTCCATCTGTATATACTAGAGCCTCGGCGGCGCGGAGGGCGTTGACGGTCGCCAGCTGATCCCGGAAGGCCCCGAAGAAGGCGTCCCGGGCGGCGGCCACGTCGTAGGTGTCGGCCAAGGGAGTGCTGATGCCGTGGACGCCGACGGGGACGGTGTGGACGACAGGCCCGAAGAATCCAGGCTGGACGTAGTTGTAGGCGTGGTTGTAGGCCTGCTGGGGGGCGCCGGAGCACACGCCCAGCACTGCCAACACAACCTGGAGAAGACGCAGCAGTTAGTGGTATGGCCAATCTAATTCTAATTGCCTAATAGATCATCCATTTAGGAAACCCTAAGATAACCAGAAAAAAAAAAATATAACAACAGCAGATCAAACACCTCCACTGAACAAGAGAATCAGAGACAACAAGAGTCCCGATCCTCATGGGAAATCCTACCAGAATCCTCATGATCCTCGTGCTTCGAAGTGTTCAGCCGAACTGTGCCGACTGGGCTTCCTCGTTCAGTATTTGTGGCTGTTTGTGTGTGGCTAAATGCTGGGCGTGTCTCGGTGATGCAGGATCTGTCCTCGAGGTGAGAGAATATCCACATATAACATCTAATTGAGTAGTATCTTGCATTGAGGAGTAATTTACTCTTTGGGATTTATTCTATGGGATTTCAGCGTCCAGACCTGTCGTTTTTTTTAGATAACAATACACCAGATTTAGATATGTGTGATGATGAAAAGGATATACTTTGATAGGTGTCGCATTGCCTCTCGATCTTTGAGGAGAGAGAGAGAGAGAGAGAGAGAGAGAGAGAGAGAGAGAGAGAGAGAGAGAGAGAGAGAGAGAGAGAGAGAGAGAGAGAGAAGAGAGAGAGAGAGAGAGAGAGAGAGAGAGAAAGAAAGAAAGAAAGAAAGAAAGAAAGAGAGAGAGAGAGAGGGAGAGGAAATTATATGCATTATTTCTAATTTATCTCAATGTTCAAGCAAAGACCAAAAAGTAAACATTGTTAAATATACCAAACGATGATAAAAGCTCGTAGAATAAAGTGGTTTATTGCACAGACAGTAGTAAATGTAGCCATTGAGATCCATTCAATAAAATGTAAACTATGCATTACAGAAAAAAAAATTCTCCGTGCTGGATACATGTAAGCGAGGACAAAAGTTTTAGAAATATACATGCATTAAAGAGAAAAAGAAGTTTAAGAATATACATGCATTACGGAGAAAAAGGTTTAAGAAATATATATACATTGCAGAAAAAAAAGGTTTTAGAAATATATATACATTGCAGAAAAAAAAGGTTTAAGAAATATATGTACATTGCAGAAAAAAAGGTTTTAGAAATATATATACATTGCAGAAAAAAAAGGTTTAAGAAATATACATGCATTGTAAAGAAAAGAAGTTTAAGAAATATATATACATTACAGAGAAAAAGAAGTTTAAGAAATATACATGCATTGTAGAGAAAAAGTTTAAGAAATATATACAAATTGCAAAAGAAAAAGAAGTTTAAGAAATATACATGCATTAAAGAGAAAAAGAAGTTTAAGAAATATATATACATTGCAGAAAAAAAGGTTTAAGAAATATATATACATTGCAGAAAAAAGAAGTTTAAGAAATATATATACATTACAGAGAAAAAGAAGTTTAAGAAATATATATACATTGCAGAGAAAAAGAAGTTTAAGAAATATATATACATTGCAGAAAAAAGAAGTTTAAGAAATATACATGCATTGTAGAGAAAAGAAGTTTAAGAAATATACATGCATTGTAGAAGAAAAAGTTTAAGAAATATATATACATTGCAGAAAAAAAGGTTCAAGAAATATATATACATTACAGAGAAAAAGAAGTTTAAGAAATATACATGCATCACAGAGAAATAAAACTAGTTTCAGTGCTGTAGAGGCTTAATAAATACAAACTTTGTAATATGCTTACAGTTTTTTTTTTTAAGAAGGAAAGAGAGACAATAATCTATAATGAACACCAGCAGATGTATTTCTATAATAATACACAATAATCTATATTGAATACCGGCAGATATATTTCTTGTTTGAGAGCACCATACCCTAACAGAGATCCATTCCGTGTGTGCCCTGTGAAGCGATTCTCAAGCTTATTTGTTTACGGTGCCATTGCCTGTATGGACGGGTGGCCTTTTGTGAAAGAGTGCCAAGAGAGAGGACGAGGATGGCAGAAATGTAATACGAGAAGGAGGAGTGTAATCTTAGTTATTATAGTGAGTTTTATTGAATTTGTACTTTTATATATATGTAATATATATATATATATATATATATATATATATAATATATATATATATATATATATATATATATATATAAAACACGCACCCAGATATATGTATATATATATGTGTGTGTGTATATATATATATATATATATATATATATATATATATATATATATATATATATATATAATACACACACATATATAAATACATGTATGTATATATATATATATATATATATATATATATATATATATAATATATATATGTTGTGTGTGTGTGTGTGTGTGTGTGTGTGTGTGTGTGTGTGTGTGTGTGTGTGTGTGTGTAAACTTATAAGCATTTTTTTAACCGACCAATGGGTCTCAGGTACTATAACAACAGTGGCATTCTTTTATTGCTGTTGATAAAATTATATATATACGTACATATACATAACTATATATATATATATATATATATATATATATATATATATATATATATATATATGTAGACACAAATATAATACACATACAAATGTGTATGTCCCATCTCTGCGACTCTCCTTCGGTTTTGTCTCGAGAAAGTTCGTCCAAAATCTACAGCTGTAACAAAACTTTGCAGTCTGCTGGCCTAACCTTCTACACATCCGCCATCCTTCCCGCCATCCTTCTAGATTCATGGCTAAAGCTATACGCAGAATTCCCAAGTGTTTATAGATGTTTATAACATTTTTTTTTATGATAAGTGAGGAATTTTAACAATACTACAGTTCCTTAGGATTTTTTTTTTCTAAGCTGTTCTTACACGTTATTGTGATATTTGTCTTCAAGGATGCCTGACGACCAAGGAATCTGTTGTGGAAGGATTTCGCAAAATTACTTGCAATTTGGCGTTTAAAGTGGACACTATTGGCATTTTTTTATTATTCGTATATACAGACATGTAAATACACAGTTATGGAGCTATGCATATCTATCTATCTGTAAGATGTATACATATTTATCTATCTATCTATGCGGTAGATATACAGGTATAGACTGATAAATATGCATTTATTTTTCTCTGTCTCTCTGTCTCTCTTTATATACATGTGTGTGTGGGCGTGTGTGTGAGTGTTTGTGTGTGTTTGTGTGTGTGAGTGTTTGTGTGTGTGTGTGTGTGTGTTGTGTGTGTGTGTGTGTGTGTGTGTGTGTGTGTGTGTGTTGTGTGTGTGTGTGTGTGTGTGTGTGTGAGTGTGAGTGCGTGTATGCGTGTGTGTGTGTGTGTGTGTGTATGTGTGTGTATATTTATGTGTATGTGTATGTGTATGTTGTATGTTTATGTGTGTGTGTATGTGTATGTGTTGGTGTATGTGTGTGTGTGATGTGAGTGTGCGTGAGTGTGTGTGAGTGTGTGTGTGCGTTAGAGAGAGAGAGAGAGAGAGAGAGAGAGAGAGAGAGAGAGAGAGAGAGAGAGAGAGAGAGAGAGAGAGAGAGAGAGAGAGAGAGAGAGAGAGAGAGAGAGAGAAAATAATGGCCCTCCTTGGTATGAATGAGAAGTACAATAACCTAGTAGGAGCAGGAAAATTAGCATTCAGCTGCGAGAGAGAAAGAGAGAGAGACTGTTCGATACCCTGAGTTTCACCGAATTGAAACAGAAGCAATATTTCGTATCCCGCTTCGAACGAATCTACAAGATAACCGAAAAAATGAATATGCAAGACAAATAAGTTCACAAACAAAACTAAAATCTTTGGTAATACATTTTCAAAACGCCAGTGGACATAATAACCTCCCACTACATCACACAACACAATCAAAACAACACCCACCCACAGAAATAAAAAATCAAAATCCAACAACAATTAAAAACAAGAACTGCTTCGAAACACCCACATCTCATAACCCGAACATGAAGCCGTGGCCAGAGACAGCGCCGGAGACTCGAACGCCGCCTCGGTTGTAAACAAACCAGATTCCTCATTAAAGGAGAGCAGTCAATGGCGTCTAGACAGGGTCGTAATAATTCCCGAGTATGAGTTGATATTTCGAGAGTGCTTAGGCTAGCTTGGTTCCCGCGGACGCTGGCGAGTGAGGGAAGAGAGAGAGAGAGAGAAGGAAGTGTTATCTGCTATCGAAGGCGGTTCGTAACGTGAATAGGTAAGGGAATAGGAAGCCTGTGTAGTGAAAAAAATCGGCTCTTTGCTTCTGTTTCTTGACGTTTAGGAAGTCGTGTGCATATTGCTCGTGCATGGAGACGGGTTTCTATGTATGTGGGTAATATTTGTGTATATGAGCTGATATGAATTAAAGCCTAACTAATAATTGTTCGCAGTGATTGAACGTGTGAAAGATATATGGGAAAAGTTGGAGGACTCACTGTCCACGAAGAGTTTCACTTTCGTGAAAGCTATCTGGCATATTGGCTGGACCTTGTTTGTAGTATAAACTATACGATATTAGACTTAAGCCATATTTAAAGTATTTTAAGCATGGGTTTTGTTTGCTGATTAACTTCTGTTAGTATGCCTAATTGAAGCTTATCAAAGGTGGTAAAATGCTTGCTTTTTGATTGACATGGCAAGTTATACAACCACCTTTGTAATAACGATTGCTTGTTGTTGATGGACTGCAAATAAAGCATTCAAATACGAATGTTTGCATTATGTTTATCAAGAAAGGACAAGGTTGGAAAACGCAAATACTCAGAGTGACGCTGATCTTGAGTCGCAGCTATGATCATTCTTGCACACACCCATTTTTTTTTTTTTTTTTTCAGATATTTGAATTTAACATAACTAACACAGCAAAACAAAACAAAGTCTATCCATACTGAAAAACAAATTACATAATTATTACTTCTGAACATCATTATTAAATGTGAAAAACTATCGCTGTTGCTCACACCATAGATGCCCTCTGCTTGCAGGTTGCACCCCATACATTTTTGTTGCTCGCTACGATGCATCCGCGAAGAATAACATTTTTCTTTGTACTGGAAATTCTGCTACATATACAAGTGGATGTAATACATAGACAGGTTGAGTGTACTTCTAAAACCTAAATAAATATTCATAACCACTGTACAGTGTTGGAAAAAAAAGTAGCTGTTTGTAAGACATTAGCACACCTACCGCTGGTTTGTGTAGGTCATGGAGGCTTCCATATTGGCACAAATTGGCGTCAGCCATCAAACCGTCAACACATGTTCGGGCAAGATGGAGCTTTTAGAACTTCATGTCATTTTATTGTCAAATGAGGAAAGAGTATAAGTTCATTCTTACCAGAATACACAAAGATTTTTTGCCATAGTGTGCAGTAAGTGCTTGACGCTGAATAGAAAATTGTAGGTTTTCCATCACCTTACAGCACTTTTCAAATAAACTTAGGGTAATTTTCTATATTACCAAAGAACAAAACCAGTGTTTATACAAGAGAGGGTCCATTTTGATAGCCTACTATATATTCATGCCCTCTGTCCTATAAAAAATGTAATGGCAGTAACAGAAACAGAAAAACGATACTATTGGGTATGAAAGATATTCTCAGTAAAGGAAAGGGAAGCCTTCAGTCGCTTATCAAAATCCCCATGTTTATGCCTTGACTCTTTAGACGTCATACTTCGGCAATGGTCATCAAAAGTCCTCTATAAATTTTCGGGCAAGGTAGAGCTAATAGACTACCCTGAGGAGTTACTGTCAAATGTTAAACTGATTTAAACAACATGTATTTGACTTTTTTTTTTCTTGTAACAGACAAAGAGCAAGAAATGTACTATCTGCGGTAGGAGAGCATACCAGGCTTTTGTTTTGATGCCTCGTCAAATGAGCTATTTGATAGTAGGGTAAATGTATGTCATATTTCCAGTTCTATGCTTGATAATAGAAATGTTAGGTAAGCTCTTTGTGGCTTCATGCATCTTTTCACTCCCAACTTAAGTTCTGTCACTTTAACAACAGTTTCACGATCCTTTTATTGCTGTAACTCCAGTAACATTGGTTGTGGAAAGTTTTTTGATCTTGGAAACCGTTTGAATGTGGATAACTCCTGTTACACTACAATATTCCCTGCAGATGACACAGTTCATGCATTTTAGCTTCATTCAGTGTCTGAGGGAAGAGTAAAGTCAGATACTTTTTTTGTAAACCAAGTATAAGGAACTTTTTATTAACAAGAAAGGTGCACACACTCGTACACATATATACACACATACACGCACATACGCACATATACACATACAGGTGTGCACATACATAGACACACACACACACACACACACACACACACACACACACACACACACACACACACACACACACACACACACACACACACACACACACACACACACACACACACACACACACACACACACACACACACACACACACACACACACTTCAGTACTGTACAATGAGTCCCCCAGAAGAAAAACAAAGGGGAACTTCTAAAACTAAAGAATAAACATAATTACCATAGCTTACTACATTATATAGCTTTATCATATTATTCACTCAGTATCCTTTTTCCTTACCCTCAGTGATTTTTCAGATTGCAAACATGTGGAAGCTGTTGATCCTTCAATCCTTAATGATATACAGTGTGTGTGAGGCATCGAGAGGAGACACTTCCAATGAATACACTGGTTGTTACCATGTTTGCCATTTCAATACGTGTTCTTCAAGTAAGTTCGGAAACGAGTGATTGGTAGGGGATATGTTGTTAATAAAGTCCTTACGTATTTGAGTAGGTTTTGTAAGATTTTCTCATAGGATTGTATTTTCTAACAGAGTTGATATGGTTATATTAATGTAGTTTTGTTAAGGTATAATTGCATGATCAAGGTAATGATATATTATGTATTGTAGTTATTCTGCTTTAAATAGATGATGTAGTGATTGGTTTTGCTTGATGACATGACACAAGAACTAAAGATAAATTATCAGCAGTTATGTTTATCTTATTTGTAAGCCGTTCTTATTATACTTACTATCTATACCATTTACATTGAATTTGCTTTCTGAACAGGTCGAGGGCGGGCACATTACGAGTCCACACAAAGCCTGAGTGAAAGAGTCCTGCAGTGGACGTGCGATGACGAGTGCAAGTACAACTGCATGTGGCACACTACGGAGATATTTGTAAGCAAGGGGCTAGAGATCCCTCAGTTCTTCGGCAAGGTAAGGGTGCTTGCTAATTTCGGTGCTGGGCTTTTTAAACGCCTTAGCACTGAGGTTTTTGCTGCTGATGTAATACAAGTAAAAGACATAAAAAAGGAATTATAATATTCAGAGTATAAAACTTGCAAATAATTGATAAAAGATGTTCACTTCGTTTATCATGGAATCAGACTGTCGAATTGACCTGTGAAGCTAGGTCTGTGCATGGGCCTCTGGGGTTTTGTTTTATTTATTCATCTACTTAATGATATTATTATTATTATCATTATTGTTATGAGATCATCATTATTATCATTATTATTATTGTTATTATTATTTGTATTATTATTATCATTATTACCATTATCAGTATCATTATCATTATCGTCATCATTATTATTATTATTATTATTATTATTATTATTATTATTATTATTATTATTATTATTATTATTATTATTATTATTATTATTATTATTATTTTGTATATTTTTTTACATGGATAGCTCCAGGAGTGCTTAGTCTTCGAGGTGTCCTTACTGACTAGGTCAACCTTTTGCTAGTTTTTTTTTTTCTATGTATCACAATTATCATGGTTATTAATGTCATTATTATTAACGTCCTAGTTATTACTGTAGCACTATAAACGAAAAATAATAGTAATGGAAATTAAAACCTCTACAAAAACTTGAAAGTAAATGGGTAAGATCAGGCAGGTATAGTAATTGACTCCTGGGTGTCAAAGAGTTTCTAGAGCCATCCGCGTTTGATCAAAAGGATAAAACAAATCTGCAGTGGACAGTCTATTGAGTACATGCGCACCTGTGTTGATAGGTTGATTAAATGATTAAGGCTTTCTTTGTACTTTGTCATGTGCATTACTCTACACTGACTTTGATGTGATGCATATGAGTTGTGAAAAAAAAAAAAAAAAAAAAAAAAAAAAAAATTAAAGAACTCCTAATTCGTTATAATCTAAACCGCTTGTAAATTGCAGTGGCCATTTGTGCGAGTATGGGGCATGCAAGAACCGGCTGCTGTGCTATTCTCCATCTTTAATCTCTTTGCGCATATTATCAGTCTTCATAAATTCCGCCAAGCTGTGCCCTCTATCGCTCCACTGTATAAGTTTTGGCATGTCCACGCTTTGGTGAGTATGTCTTTGTCAAAGCATTTTGTTTTTTGTTTAAAATAAAGAAGGTTATGACATAAGATAGATGAAGTACCGTTGGTTTACTTCTGTTTGAAGGAAATGATAATACTGCTGTAATGTCATACTCAGATGCTTACCTGTTAAAAGATAGAAAAAAAAGAAAGAAAAAAAATGTTTAGGAATGTGAAATCTGTACAGATAGGATGGAAGGGGAATTCAGTGTGTAATTGTTAGAAACAGTGAAATATATATATTGTTTCCTGGATAAAAGTGGGAAAAAGTACTGTAAATTTTCACTATATATCACATCATTGTTTTCATACATTCCAGATTTGCATAAATGCCTGGCTGTGGTCGGTTGTGTTCCATGCCCGGGATACTCCGTGGACAGAGCGAATGGATTACTTCTCGGCCTTTTCTATGGTTCTCTTTTCTCTATTCGGTCTCCTTGTGAGGTATGGCATCAGTATTGGGCATGTTTTAAGTGTATTTAGATTTATTCATTTTATTGACTGTGACTGTATAGGGAAAATCACTTCTGCATATTGTGTGTTTTGATAGAAACTATTTATTCGCTCTTACTGCAGTAGGCCAGTCATTCCTTGTTGAGAACTTTTATCATTAGAAGATTTTTGGTAAATATTAGGTGTAGTGTGTAAGCAAAACAACAAAGGGAAGAGCTGGAAAACCTGTGATTATGCTGAAGATCTTTTCACTTTTTGTTTCTTCCTTTCAAAACCTATTGACATACCCTTAAGAAGCCATGAAGTGAAAAGGACTCTAAGGTAATCCTTTGTGTTTCCCTGCTCTTTTCTCGTGCTGAAATGGTTTAGTATTTTTGTCTTGTGCTTTTATGAATAATACTGAGATTTGATTTGAATTTTTATAGAGAGTTTTCACTTGTAAATCAGTCTGCTTTCAGGATCTCTTATAAACATTGTAAGAGAATAGTAGCATTTTTACATTAATATTTGAGTATGATAAACATTTTAATATGTGAATAAAGAAAAAAATCAGCTGCTCATTGGACTTAGGAATATGATTTTTTATAAATAATTTAATATCTACAGTAAGATCTCCATCCTTTTACCAGTTTCTTCTCATAATCGTAACTTTAAATTGTACGAACATACGCTATAGAAAAAAAAAAAATTGGTTAGTTGATGATGATTTTTTTACAGACTATCGGGACCACACCACTGGAAGAGGAAGGAAATACTAGGTCTAGTTTGCATACTGTTCTTTACTTACCATGTTTGGTACCTCACTCGAGGGAGATTTGACTACGGGTACAACATGAAGGTCAATATTCTTGTAGGTGAGTGGGTGTCATGGTATTTATTTAGTGTGTTTAGAAGCTGGATGAAGGTTCATGAAGTGACTGTCTGATTTGGTGTAGTTCCTTGGCTTAGTTGTTTTTTTTCTTTTTTAGAAAAAAGAAAAGGAAGGATATCTTTATTATTGGATTTCGAAAGGGTGTGTGTGATTTTTTAACATTAAATAGGATGCAGGATGCTGGAGATTCTTACAAATGGTAAATGCAAATACAATTTTAATCCTTGCACCTTGTTCCTGATCTTCAAATAGTTTATCTGTGTATTTTGCTTTTAGGAAAATTAGAAAAGGTAATCAATGGTTTTAAAGACATACTGATTAGTAAATATAAGAAAAGCAAGTCCTTGGTTTTGAAGACAAAGTAGGTTGTAAGTTTCAATATAATTTTTGTTGTCATTAAAAAAAAAAAAAATCTGCTACTTTGTTTCTGAATCTTCATATTCAGGGGGATTTTGTTGTAGTAGTTATGTAGGAATCATGAGTTACGTTTTCCACATTTTCAGGGTTATATTTTTATCATTTAGCTGTACTGTGAGTCCTGCTATACAAGTTGTACCTTGAATCTTGATATACATATATTTAACTTTATTTAGTTGTTCTCTAAGAATATATTTTGAAGCATATAAGAAAAGTCTACATCATATTTTTCATTATTGATGTATATCTCTTATTGCTAATAGAAATACAGCAATGTATACATTAATATAAGAAGGGTTTATTTATAACTTACTTTCATGTTGCTTCTGATCTCAGTGGTGTTAATTATGGATTTTTTGTGAGTTGGTAATAGCCAGATTTACCAACACTTATAATTAATTAATTAGATCTTGAACATCCCTCACAGGTATCTTGAACGGATGCGGATGGATAGCTTGGGGTGTTCCTCGTTCCAACAGGCCTCACGTCAGATGGTGCATACTAACTGTTATTGGTGCTGTGGCCTCGATGCTGCTCGAGCTCGGAGATTTCCCTCCTTTCTTCTGGGCTGTCGATGCGCATGCACTCTGGCACTTGGCAACAGCACCCCTCCCATTCATGTGGTACAAGTAAGTGATTTAGAGTTTTTCCTGGTAAGGGGTGGTATGAATGAGCTTAGAGAATCTATTTAAGATTGGAAGAGAAGTTGGTTTAGATTATTGAATTTTGGTGGGAACATATTATTAGACGTCAAGAGGAAGAGACTAATATATAGATTAAATTATTTTGTGTTCAGTGAAACAGACCTTCAGACAAGTTATTGTTGCAAAACTATAAAAAAAGATAAATCATTGGATGTTTTTTCTTCCTCTTTCAGATTCTTGGAAGGGGACTGCAATTATCTCCTGAGAGGGAAAGCATTTGACTATAGAAAGCAAATTTAATATTCAGTTATAGCTAAGTGTGTTGTTATAACAATTTACTAGGAGAATTGAATGACTTGAAATGTTGATAATGTCCAGAATTTTAGTTTTTCAGAAGATTTGTACTTTTATCAAATTTTTTGTGTCTACATTTCCTGTCAGTATGTAGGGTATTGTAGTTCTTTTCCAGTATTTTGTGATGCTATGACAAACGTGTTCAAAAACGAATTCCATGGGTATTTTTGTTGTGAATTTTCTACTTAATGACTTCAAAAACTGTACTTACATAAGCAAAGATAGACCTCAAGAAGAAATTATATGAAAATTGATTGTTATATTATTGTTTTGTTTTTTTGTTATAGACGTATCTAAAAAGAGTTTATTAGTTGATATAAGTGAATATATGTGTGTATATCTGTATGTATGTATAGCTGTATGTATGTATAACTGTATGTGTATAACTGTATATGTATAATTGTATATGTATATGTGTGTACATTCGAGAAGAAAACATACGGCTTTAGATAATGTTTTCTTTAACTTTTCATGGTGAATTGGGTAGGTGTAAGAAAACATAATAGAAAACCTGATTTAACCAAAGCAGTATTTTCAAGTATCACCAGATTTCCAATCACAATTCAGCAGTATTTATAGGCAGATTGATGAATTATATAGAGATTTTATGCACTGGTTTATGAATACCTTGGATAAGCAGTTTTACCTTAAAGGAAAAGTCTTTGTTAATGGATAATATTTACATAAGCTAGATAAGTATCTAATAGTATATTCATCACAGATTTCCACTTGCTAGAGTGTATATACACAGTGTATGATAATCATGAATGTTGAAAGTATATTAAAATGTTGTCTTTTACATAGTATATATTGTAGATGTCATGTTGTACCTTCCCTTGTAAATGTTTGCTTGATATGTTACAAGTTTATGTTTGTTATAATCTGTTTATGATTTTGTTAATGTGATATGGGTAACCCCAAACATTATATCCCATACTTATATGTACAAATGATAGATGTTGTATTACTGCTAGCCAGTAGAAACATTTCCTTTGTGTTGTCATTTTCCTATTATTTGTTGTATTGTTTGGGTTGTATGACATGGATATATTACAGAGATGTTGTATTGTATTTTGCATAAGTTTGTTAAGCCTTTAAGAATAAAAGCAATTTATGCAGTTCAAGTTGTATTTGATTGTTCCTTATGAAGTTGAAAAATGATGTTATAAGAATTTTTTTTGCTCCTGAAGGATAGATAAATTTATAAGTAAGATTCAGAAATGCTGTGTAATGCATGCCTACTTCACAGAAAAATTAAGAAATAAAAGATTATTTTAAACAAATGAAATTAAATATTGGGGAAAGAACTTTTGCCATCTTATACCCTTGTTCCCAGTTTTTCTTAATTGATGATTGTCTACTGTCTTCTAATGATTAATCTTTTTAAACTGAGCCACCATAAAAAGATGAAAACTAAAAAAAAGACAATAAGAAAGTATACTCATAACGTGTATTGTTATTAAACATTTTATGTACAGGTGATAAGGAGTTGGCTAGCTAAAAAGTATAACTGTGAAGACCAATACTTGCCTGTCAGTCTAGCAGGCTTATTTTAACCCTTCAGTGACGGGTACATCAATAGCTGTCACGGCTTAATGGCCTGTGATGTATATATGCATCATGACTTGCAACAGGGGGTTCTGGCTGTACATAGCTTAGGCCTAACCACAAAGTTTTGACTGTTGCGTAATATTACATCACAAAAATATTGAGTCTCACCAAGACAGGGTTAAACATAACTTGCAATGGCTCATTCTTTGTCCAGCTACAAGATAAACCACTTCAGTTAACATTGTACAAAATGGTAATGGTTATGTAACACTTGCCGTGAATATCTCTTTATTGCTGGTCTTTTTGTGTGTGAATTCAGGGGTTTTGTGCAAAATTGAAGTATGTAACATTTTAATGCTTTTTGTTCCATAGTTTTCTATTTGGTAACTCTCTTTTGGGCAATAAGCCATACTTAGTTGTGTATGTATATATATTTTTTGTAATTTCATCATGGTTTTTGTAGTCAGCTCTGAGCTTACAATACTGAAATAGACTGGCCTGAAATGCATATGATTTTATTCATTACAATTATGCATTTTTCAAAATTTTAAGGCTATTATTTATATTATAATTCATTTCCTTCTGACTGTAGTAAAAGTAATCTGTTTTCAGTGTATGAATACAGTAATAGAAAAATGACTGTGTTGAATTTATATTAATTTATACTTGGTCAAATTTATTTATATTTTTAATTATTAAAATGACAAAGAGTGAAATTAAATGCAGATTTTGAACAATGCTAAATCATAAATAATCAATAAATGTACATTTTTTTTTCTTAGCCAAAACAAGTGATTAAGATTCTGAAGTTACTTTATGAAATAATGTAACTAGAAATAAATGGCATGTATTGTAAGATTTTTATATATTTACTTTTTGGTCCTCTTTTATTAAGGCAAAAAGTAACAAACAGTCTCATACAGCTGCATCTACAGTATCACAATTTTATTAGTTCACCTATCCAAGGTGACCAGATTTAAACAAAGCACCTCATACAATGTCATTTGTAGGTCCTCAACAGCAGAGGAAATATATTTTTCATACTTTAAATAATATACAAATACAATACAATGAGGTTAGAGAAACAATTGTCTTTAAATTATGTTAAATTATGTTACAACTGTAGGAGATTATGGTTAACAAGGCAGTGGAATCAGCACTACTTTTACATCAATAATCTTACTTTTATTGCTTTTAAAAAGTAGACTGTGTAAGTGTAACGGCAAGAACTCTGATGCACAAGTATGAGTTTTTATCATTTAAGATAGAGTCATACTCGGGAACACATTTGGCGACGGAGATTGGGTACATAACATTAAATTGCATAATTCTTAGTCTATGAGCACCATTGATAACAAAAGAACACTGTTAAGTAGTTCAGAAGTCAGGTTTAATTGGACACAAACACTGAACTGAGCTGTGGCAGTGATGACAAAAATTAGTGATGGAAGTACATTTGCATGTCTTATTTAAATATTTGGAATTCAGTTTCAAGCATTCATATTAAATAAAGAGTATTGTGTCCATATCAAATGAGTAATAATTTAATTTTGGCTGTGTAACTACATTTTTGCCAGCTTAATTTGTTTATGCAAAAGCCTATTAGAGTGATCATATGTCGAATGCTAATCTTTTTTTTGTTTCTGACCTAATATTCATGATAATTTTTCTATTCAACTTGCAGAAATAAAGTGGTTGACCTAAAGATTCAAAGTATATCTCATATGAACACTACTACTTTCTTTCAGTAATTAATTAACCAGGGACAGAAATGTTATATTTACTTGGTCCTATTTTTGTTATTTCTAGTCTGTCGATCAATCTTGGAGATGTGTAGTTTCTTCTCAAGGTCTTGGATAAGCTGCTCAGGAAGAGCCATACTCCTGGAAGATAATTTGACAGTGTGAATAATATTATGGAAAAATCACGATACTTAAATAATTTCTAAGAAATTTTATGACTATCAGAATTTCAAATGGAAGTGAAAGCTATGACAAAAATAAGATTATCCTGAACATGTTATTATCTTATAATATAACAATATCACATCAAAATAACGTTTATTATGCAACAATTGTCAACAAACACTACTTTCATCTTGCTTCTGGCTGTATAATGATATTTGTATAGACTGTAAAAAGTACCCAAAAGTTTATCCTCACATGATAACCCCTCAAAAAAAAACAAACACTACTTACCTGAGTTACATAAAAAAAATATGAATTACAATGACTATCTTCACAATGCCAGAGATGTATTTGACTAGTTTCCATCATATCTCCGTCAGGAATACCGGTACAATACATCTCACTGTTAAAGATATCCAGTCTCATTCATACATGTTTCTTCTACATCTAATGTAATGTGCACTGTACTACCTGAGTTCCCGCATGGTGTCCAACTTAGTTACCCATTCTCAATTACACCTTTTCTTCTACATCTCACGTAATGTGCACTGTACTGCCTATTCTACCTGAATTCCCTCACGGTGTCCAACTTACGTCATTCTTGTACATCTGTCACAATGAACACTGTACTACCTGAGTTCCTGCATGGTGTCCAACTTCAGTCTAACAAGGGCCGCTTCTTTCTGCTTAATTCTCAAAGCCTCTTCCTCCTTCTCCCTCTTCAGCTGGTCGGCCTCCTTCGCTCGCACCGCCTCCTGGTACTTGATCTGATCTCGGATTCTTGACTCGTAGTCTTCCTTGTCCTGTCAGAGAAGGTCCTGTGTAAATAATACATAGCAAGGCTGGATGGTATGCCTTCACACCTCTGTCCCCTGCAGCTGTCTTCCTCCTTCAGTACACGCAGGTGTCCTTTGCTTTTACTTTTGATATTACAAGGGAAGGAATGCACCGGTTCTTGTAGGAAATC